TATAGAGAGAGAGAGAGAGAGAAGAACATAAGTATTTTATATATTATATTAAAAAGGCTTCATGTATGTACAAATTGTCTATAAAAACGTTAATAATTATAAACCCATGTATTGAGGGGAAGAAGAAAATGTGTTTCTTGTAGAATTATTTTTCCTCGAATCCTCAGTATTAGGGTTATCACTAAAAAAGGTAATACTTATTTTAATCTAAACATACTTCTATATCGATTTCATCTTTCATTTTTAACAGTAAAATTTTTATTCATCTATCAATCACTTAGAATGTTTAAAATTATTTACCCAAAGAAAGGCATCAACGATATAAGCGTCTGTCTGCTTGGTCTAGATGCAAATGCGGGTGAACATTGAGCTAATCTTCCAACAACTCGTCTTAACCAGTGCTGTAACTTTTGCCGTCTCTCTTCAACAAATTTAGCATCCTACGAACAGAAGATAGAAGTAAAATAATAAGCTGTGTTTTTTAAGTGTCTTTCACAATTTATAGATACCTTATTTCCTATTGTTTTCTTTGGTGGAAAATCAAAATTAGTAACAATAGCATCATGTTTTTTCAATTCTCTATAAAATGCGTAAAATTGCGCGTAACGCCTATATATATTCCATTCCGTGTCTCTAATACGTACATATATCTGCAACAGGAAATATAATTTATTATAATTTTTTAAATTTACGATATAATTATGCACTGTTACATTCGAATATTTGTAGTTACTGATAAACTACCTGATAGACGTGATGTATATCGGAAGATTGGCCAGTAAGGAACGCAGATGGAATCCAAATATGAATGAGGCATGGTGGTTCTGATGGTAAGTCATCTTCATTTAGAGGACCGCGAAGACATTCTAATTCCGCTTGTAATAATTTAACTAATCTATTTCTAAAGTTGTTATTAACATTAATATAATGCGTACATATTATTATTAGATATGTATAGTAATCATACCTATCAGTTAACTGAAGAGTCAATCTAGCATTAAATTCCATTAACTCCGCGTGCATGTCTGCAACTTGTATTAATTTTTCTTCATATTGTTGAGCTTCATTATGATAATCTAATGATGGATCCTCTTCCGACACTGTAGTGGCGTCTGAATCTCTCCTTAACATTTGTACTGCTGTTACATATTTACGTAATTGTTGCCTTAACAATTCATTTTCCCTAGTAATTTATATTAATATTTTAAATAGTGACTATTTTCTATAGATATAGAGGTAGGTATAGATAGAGATAGATACAGGTACAGGAAAATAAATTAAATTTTATTACCTATTTAGTGCTTGTATCTGTAACTCATGTCTTTCAAGATAATTTTGATGTTGTCTTTGTAACCGAGCAAGTTGAGACCTACTAGCCACTGCATCTTCCCTAGCTTGTTCTAAAATTTCGTTCATCGCTAAAAGCTTTACTCGTAATGCTTCTATATCTAAATTTTCACTATCTGCATGAATGTCTAAGCCTACTAATGGTTCAGTAGCTTCCACTGCAGCTTCTGTGACTTCAGATGAATCCTAGACAAAAAAACGCGAATGAAATATTCGATACTTCTGAATTATAATTATTTAGCTGAATGTTATATTATATATGTATATATATATACAATAAAATACATACATATAAAAAAAATATATATAAAATACATACATCTAAGTAGTTTGGCAATGCTATTAACATGTCATCTAATGTTTGATCTAAAGGCGAAACAGGAACAAGACCACCCATATTACTAGAATCGGTAACTGGCGTTAATACTTTTTCCTCTTCAAATGGTTCACTGAAAATTTTTAAAATATTGTTATAAAATAGGATCTGAAAAATTATTTATATTTGTAGATGTGCATTGATTTACCATTTTTCCCAGTCTGAATTTTCTTGACTGACTGTTAAATTCACATTATTTGATAACATTTCAGATTGAGATTCTGATACGCAAGACGATGGTGAGTCCTTAGTCGAATTTACAATAGGAGAATTCAAACAGGTTGGTGGCGCACTAACTGAAATGTTGGCTTCTGTAATCTCTTGTTCATCAGTATCATTATCAAATGAAATTATATGAGTTGGTACTTTTTTTCTCTGTTTCTGTTGTTTTAAAATAGGCCCTAGTTTCAATATCAATGCAATTACAATGATGCACATAATAGATTTAATTGTAGTCAATAATTACACTAATTTGAAATAATTACCTGGTATTGAAGTAGATATAATTGGTTCTGACAGTGAAACTTTTTGTTTTTCAATTTCTTTTTCTCTAGCATTGTTATCCAATTCTTCGTTATCTATCCTAATAGCAAACAAAATACTACCAAGTCCTAACAATTAAAGACAGTATTTAATTGATTTTGGAAGATGAAACAAGAAAGTATGAAGCATAAAGAATACATATCATTTGTATACCTGCAGCTACATTTGGCAATACTGCACTTCTTTCTTGGTCAAGTAAAAATGCCCAATCTTCATAAAAAGAAGATAATATGTTAGGGTCAATAATAGCATGTAAATGACGTTCTAAAGAACGTTCATTTAAAGCAGCTCTTAGCCATGCTCTGCCCCTACCATAATCTGTGTGGACTTGTTTTAATACACTAAACCGTTCTTGTTCGTGCCATGTTAATTGTTCTTTTATATATGGCCAGAACGCTACATCTGATGTATTACATGATTTTATATTGCCACCAGACACTATATCAGATACATGCCTAGAGAGATACACCAAATTTATGTTAAAAGAGTAAGCTGCACAGTCATAAATTATATTAGTCATCACATTATATTATCTAATGAATAGTCATTGTTATAATAGCTATCATTTAAGAGATAATTAATAAAAGCAAGAAAAATATTTTATAGTATATCATACACGAAGAAATGTTTTGTATCACACTTTTTTAATACCTTAAGGCTGAATTTATTTTTTCTATGCAATTTATACGTAATCCATGACTAAAGATTGATTCAAATATGTGACACAACTGTGTAACACATATATCTGATTCAGTTGCTAATTCAATACGCCCACCAAACCTAATGTGACACTTTTTTGCAATAGCCAGTAAATCTTCCAATAGCTTCTGTCGTTCGATTGCATGATCATAAGTTTGATTAGCATCAATTACATTATGTGTGCCTGGCACTATTGCTGACATCATACGTAAAGCCTAAAACATATGTGTGGACATTATCAATATATTAATGATAATTAATAAACAATTATATAATGATGGATCATTAAAATTATATTCACTCCTACATTTACTCTTATATTTCTGACAAATTACTTTAATTTAATTAATGTATAAGTATTATAAAGTTATAAAGATTTTATTTATAATATGTACAAACCGCAATTATTTATATTCTATGTCGCGAGAAAATTCATCGTGTACTACGAAAATATTAATACTTCTTTTTATATGGGAAAAATCATCAGTTTATTTTTATGATTACACATCTGTAATGTCAAGATGTACCAAAACGGTATGATATGCACTCAATACTTTCTAACACGCAAGTCGTTTCTAACAGTCAATACACAAAGTAAGTTTACACCTTTTTTTTCTAATGGTCAACAAAACATTTAACTGTCACTTATATTACTTCATCAGATGTGTCATGTAACAAGTTCCTCATTAACTTGACGGGCTGACACTGAACAGGCATTCCAACAATGATACAACTTCAATATATAAAAGATAAATACACACCATAGATACAAATCAAAGATGACCACTGTCTATTCCCTTTCAAATTGTGGCCGTTATTAAAAAAAGTCGTATAAAAGACTTAAATAAATATACAATCACTTCTAGGAATTGTTATGTGTACAGGGTTTGTCATCGAGAATGTAGTAATATTGTGATTGCTTCATGACAAGAAAGAATGAAACTGCTCGTTTTTCTTAGCAACTATGATACAAATTTACATAGCAGGAAAATTCAGGGGCGAACATAATCTCCTTCATCCTTTTCTGCAAACACAGATGTGTCACGTGAGCAATAGTGTCGTTTGTGGAACATTTTAGGCGCGTTGACATCGCGCGTTTATTAATGAGTAGATCAAAAATATTTCTGTCAGATACCGGTTTGATTTATTTATGAACACATTTATTGATACGGTAATATTATGTCAGTGGTAACAACATCTGTCAATTGACAGATATCCAAAGAAATTCCCTATTTTTTTCCGTCATAAACTACATAATACAGAGATGTTCACGAGAAGCCGTTGATCTAACAGAAAGAACAAACGGGATATATGATAGACGTAATATACAATGTAAGATTTTGTCACAAGCCCTCGGGGGTACTAGCACCCCTTACCATTTTCATGCCACGTTCTGTCATATCAACTAAAGCTGGTTTTGCATGGCAGCACTATAAGAGATAGGAATGAGAATCAAAAATATGAAATTTTAAATGACAAAATCAGTAGTGTTACCCATGTAAAAAATTCTTTATTCATTGAATTGACCGTTGCGACGTTTCAACAGTAACATAATGCAGTAACTTAAAATAAAATTATTTTTTAAATTTCTATGGGACAATAGTTCTGGTTTTTCCAGATATCAAAATTAATTGTTAGGAAAACGATAAGAACTTAGCCGATTATATTATGCAAGTAAATTATGTTTAATATTCTAATAAATGTCTATGAGAAATTACGAGTATATACAAAAATGTAATATTAAGACAAAGAAATAAAGAAGAACACGTTTTTCATTTATTTAATTGTATTTATGTGCACAGACTTCAGTAAATTATATCTACATTTAAAAAAATACCTAAAAGCGTGTTATACATTTTTGTCCTGAATGCTGAACAATTTTATTAGAAATATTATGATTTAAATAAAAATGTATATTGAATTCCGATTTTATTTATCAAAATTTTAATTACTGAAATAAAAATTATTGGTATATAATTTATCGAAGAATTTTCTACAACTGTATAATTAATCAAAATAATTTCTTATACAAATTTTATAGCTGTACTTTATATAGTAAATGTATTTATAAAAATATTTATGTTTGTAAATTAATAAAAACTGCATTGTTATGAAGTTCTATTGAATAAATACTACTTCCTTCGTTTAAATGTACGTGCCTTGTACATTTGTTGTCGCTAAATCATATGACGACACACTCGTAGCAAAAATGAAATAATAAGTACAGTAAATAACTTCGCGCGTTGGGAATTTGAAGCATGGCAATATTGCAACGGATACGTTTACACACTGGTTTACCATATTTACTACTTGGTCAACTTCGATCATTTTGTTTGATGTAGTTTTCCTATTGACCATTCTCTAAGCGTAGAGGGCAGAGCAAAACCTTTGATTTTTTACACAGTCGGTAATTCAGAACATGTGACACCAAGTCCCATAAACTTACCATGTCTATTCTATATCTCGTCTGTGCCGGGACTGTGTATATGAGCAGTTCTATGCAGTGTTCAATCAAATAGGTAAAAGCAGGTATAGAGACGGTATCTTTTCATGAAGGGAGTATCACTAGAGTGCTCGCGAGCACCGATTTTACATCCTTGCAATAGACTGTTTCGTATGAAATCCTGTTCTAAAGTCAGTCGAGGATTGGTAGCGAGGTTAGTTACTCTTAGCCAATCAGTTCTCGTGGTGTTATCAAACTGGTTCAGAAGATTTTATCAATGGTAGTCGCGTGGGTGTACAATCTCATGCGATACGTACCGAAATCCCTGCACCTGTTCCAGTTCAGGTCGAAGTGAAAAGAGATAAACAATATATTTCCCGAGACTAGGGTTCTGGCAAACAATGCACTTACCTAAACTAGTGAATCATCTGCGGAGCTGTAGCAGCTACGCAAAATTTCTTATCAGACTGCATATCGAGTCATACGCCTGCAAGTAAGGCATACGGTGCTATGTTAGTCTGAAGGCTCCTCAAGAGGAACGAATTGTAGACGTATTGAGCGAGTAATTGTCGTTCGTTAAAGAATCGTTGTGCACCCATACGAGTCCTTAGTATTATCACGTCAGCACACTCGGGTGTTAATTCTTATTTCTATCGAAGAATTACATAATATATGTGCATGAGTCACAGGGTGTATAAGAGAGACGTGTAAACGTCAAAATCGTGCTGCTGCAATTTTCTTGCATTCTAGGTACGATAAACAAATACTGACCCGCCCGGTTCATTGTTTGATCGTAATTGAATCTCGAGAACGACGATAGATTAACGTTAAATCAGTAATGGAGACTCCATTATACGAAATACGATTACCGTATATATTATTCTGTTCAATGTCGGTCGTGCAATGTGCTGCCATTAGAACTTTTGCAACGAGTATGTTCTTTTGCGTTAGATTTTATAAGAAAAAGTTAACAGTTTTTGGAATAAAATGAAATTATCGATGTAATTTGTCGCATTAAGTGAATTGGTGACTCGACAATAATTGCGTTGAATGTTATTGCCCGAGATTTTTGCAATTCATGATTATTGAAATAATGACAGATTTGGTGTAATAGCTTTCTCAAGGTTAAATGAATAATATATAAATGTAATTCTGACAGTGTTGCGATCGTGTAAGATCAGTGTTTTTCTTACGTAAAGGGTGTAAAAATTTGGTTTACTTTTTATTCTAAGTTTTTGATGTTTCGACATTTTCTTAAAAGTATATAATTAATGTTCCAGCATTTTTTAATAATTTTCTTTTTTGATTTATATTATGTATTACATTGCAAGAAGCATGCTGTGTTTTTACTGACATTTCAGCTTGGATCTGTGCAAAGAATTCTGCGGAGCATTTGCAATGAATAGAAAATACTATGTTGTCTGGCGATGAACAGAAGTACTACTAAGAAATGGCAATTCTGGAATTGAAAATATTCAAACATAGGTGCATGATTTCATAGCTGTGGAATTGTGGCCATTATATTATAGTGTTCATCCAGATATTTGTTAATTGAACAAAGTAGTTGTTCATATAGCACTTATTTTGTGAGAAATGCCAGCACCACCTCCACCTCTCCCAAGTTTGCCAGAGGCACCTATGTGCGAGAAAACAGAAGTAAGCGATGCGGATTCTCTGCCTTCGTGGGCCAAAATTACCCTTACCTCTGCAGAGGCAGAGATTGAGAAACTAATAGCTCGAAATGAGTTAAAGGATGCCGAAGTCACATATTTTTGTCAAGTTGAGCCAATTTTGCAAGATGGACCACAGTAAGTGTTACTTCCAACTTATTGTTGACAAATGCTATTCGATAAGCTATGTTAATATATATAATAATGCTATATTATTTAATAGATGTGGTTTAGTGGCACTTGCTATGGCATCACAAGAATATACAAAACCAGTTTCTGTAAGTCAACTTTTAGCAGAAGCACGTGTGAGAGGCTTTACGCAACATGGGGAAGTATACAGCGTTGATTTTATGGGTACATTAGCAGCTGAATATTTACCCGACCACAGACCAGATATTTTAGTAGATTTACAACAATGTCCAGATACCCTAACTCATGCTTTAGCTCACGGAGCTATGGTATTGATTCCATATGATTCTGATTTTAATCACGCCCCATGTTTGAAAAGAGGCCATAAAGCCCATTGGGCATTACTTGTGGGTCTAATTTCATCTAGGTACATTTTTAATTAGATCTATTATATTTTAGTTTTAGTTTCATAATTTGGAGAGAAAGTATCAATATGAAAATCTGATATTATCGATTAAGGAAAGTGAATTGTACATATTTCAGACAAGGATATCATGTCTTAGCACGCCATGGAAAATCACGTCATTTAGCTTGTTGGCCGCTGCGCGATTTAATTGAGAGCAATGGTAATTTGGAAGAAGAAGGAACAGCTAAACATGCTGGAGGATATGTTATACCAAAGGGAGGAGTCGGAGGTCAGAGAGGTTTACGTGGTAGGGCACTGGCGTTACATCCATACATATAAAACCATGTACAAGAATTGTAGGTAATTGATATCACAGTGGAAGACAAAAATTACTTTATAATGTTACTATATCCATATTATGGTATATAGTAAATATTTAAAACGTAACAACGTTTTCACAGCTGCCACAAAATTTGTTTGTGAAATGTGATGGTTTAAGTACCATGTATTTCAAACTTGCATTGCAAATTTATTCAACATCCAGTGGAGAGTATCAATCTTCAAAATTTTCGTATTAGATAGAATAACAGATGATATTCCATTTGTTACGCTTCGACACACAACATAAATAATAATATATGTTTGACTTACATGCACGCGACTATTTCGGTACTATTCTTTCGTGTGTCGAGTATTAAACTCTTCCTGTGATGCAATACGTACTAAGCATGCGCGTAATTTAGTCTGAAAAAATAGGCATGTACACGTGCATGAAGGGGCAAATGTGAAGAAAACAAAGTCTATAAAAATATCTACATTAAATAGCTATCTAAGTGTATTAGCTAGGGAGTTATCGAAATCGTAACTAGCCGGGATGAAAAGATCTAAGTATATTTATTTAGCGAAAAGAGATCAACAAAGTTTTCGATAATAATTGTGAATATTTTTATGTTGATATTATGAATAAAGACTACATCTATCGCAAGTCTCACAATTGCATTTGAGGCAATAAAACTTAATGTTCATGTGCTATATCAGATCAAGTGCATTGCTTTTAAGATACGTAAAGAATAACGATTATCAAGATTGAATTGATTACTTTATATTATCGTGTAATTATTATATCAGACTTTTACCACATATTATGTACATGTATGTAAACATAAAAATAATCTCCATGCCGTTCTATCAAGAATACTACCGATTTCATTTTGTTGTACTTTGTGATAAATATTCTCACAAAATTTGATTGAATATCCTAAAAGCAATGTGCTTTTAAAAAGGAATTTTACTGTGTAGATTATATAACATGCTTGTTTTACTATTTATTTACTAATATGTAAAATATGAGTGTAGTCCTCATAATTTATATATACGTATAAATATATATATACACTAAATTATAAACCTGAAGATACCTTATAACTGGCTGGTTTCTTCAGTTATGTGGTATCTTAAGTGTTTTCTATCAAATCTGTCAGTAAGATGCATACAGCAGGTTTTCAAAAGAGATGCTATAAATTTGTAGATTCCTTGAATGGTTTCAAATCGAATAAAAGAAACCAGTGCAAATAAAGTGTACCCAAGTGCCGCAAAATATGAGGTTCATTTATTAACAGAAGATTGTACACTGTACTGCTTGTTTTTACAAGCGTCTCTGAATTTATTATTGCGTCATAACTAAATACTCTGTAAAAATATTTATTTCCATAAGTTTTTTTTTTTAAATATTTATGAAGA